AGAACTTGTGTTGGGCCCACTCAATGCTACTGACTTAGAAAGTCTTGAGATGATCTCAGAAATATAGGGTTTCCCAAGCCTTGTAGGTGATCTCAATGTACACTAAAGTTAAAGACCACTGGTTTAGGGGCAAACATACTAATAAAGGTGGACTGCTTATGACAAGACAGAAGACTCTTTTACATGAAACTTGACCAAATCATAACAGTCAATAACAACCTTAGAAATTTAAGACTTAGAAAACAGGTTAAATGTTTATTTCCCAAGAGCCATAATAAAGCTCTGAAATTCCACTGCCATGGCACAGAATTTCCAAGATAAGAAATAACAGAAAGATACAGGTACTACAGGCACATCTCTGCTGACTTAAGACATGGTCTAGAAAACAATACAGTTCCTTCTTGAACAGGAGGTTTCAGATCATTCTTTTTAGGTTATTTATAAGTCTTTTGGCTATACTGCAGTCCAGGTACAATATTTTCACACATGAAGGGTGACTCAGCTGCAGAAGTGGAGATGGCCAGGACTATCTTTAAAATATTATTATGGCTAACTCTAACAGGTGAGTCACAGGCAACAATGTTACTATTCTCATTTCTCTAATCATCATCTTTTTAAAAAATCTAGGAAGGAACTGAAAGTGTTCTATAAAGTTACTAACCTTGTACTGGACTAAAATGAGTCTGGATGGAAAAAAGAAGAACCCAGAAAATACAGTGATCAACCAACAAAAGGTTAAATTTCACTATTTCTTTTTTCTTTTATAATTAAGATGGTAATTTTCTGGGTTAGCATGCCTTTCTTTGATGAAGGTGATGGCTCCCAGAATCATGTGATGCCTCTTCCCTTTTACTATAAGCCATAAGCATAATTGGATGGCTCTCCTGTCAAGAATTCAGTTATGGGGTAGGGGAAAATACCATCTTCTCACACCATCTACCTGGTGTGTATATATATTCCAATGGAAAGCAACAGAATGCCGGAAAGATCTTTGTAAAATTGCTGTGCTAGATACAAGTGTGGCTATATAGTTAATATATTTTGATAAGGACAGATCTGGGCCAGTCTGACAAAAAAAGACCTCTCCATATGAGTTTTTGGGAACTTCGGCCAAATGCCGGGTAGTTTTGGAATAAAGATCACAGTTTATAAGTAATTCTAATTTTTCATTTACTATAATTTCTTAGATTTAAGTGCTGAAGTGCTCACAGTTACTGACATGATTTCTTTTCTTGTTCTCCATGTGTCTGTGTATCAAGAAGATGAAGTTGTATGTTTTTGTAATGTGGCCAAACCAGTACTGTGAAGCTGAGGGACTGTCACAGCCTCGCTACAATCTTCTGCAGGAGCAGGTGATGACCAGAGTTTGGAATTCACTTGCTATGGTCATTGCTTCCTAAATTAAGGTTATCACAATGAAAAATACATATTCCTGTTGCTCTAACAGGACCAGCAAGTGAAGCCCCATCACCTTGCCCAAAGATGACAAACCGGTTCTAACAGCATATTGGGGCACATCATGAGAGTTAGCAGTTGTTAACAGCCCATAGGCACAAGAGTGGCCATCTGTGCAAAAAGCTCTTCCCGAAGGAGGGAAAAAGGTTAGAGAAGGAAACAAAGTATGTAAAAATGACTGCTAACTTTCAGCTACAGTAAATACTAAGTAATTAAAAGGCAAATGCAGAAAGTAGCCATTTAATGCCCTGTTTGAGACTTCCCAGAAGTGCTCTCATCTTACTTGTAGGATAAATCACATAGTGATATAATGATTTTTTTTTTTTGTCAGTCATGGGCTTGAACTCTGGGCCTGGGCACTGTCCCTGAGCTTTTCTGCTCTACCACTTTGAGCCTCAACTCTGCTTCTGGTTTTCTGGTGGTTATCTGGAGATAAGAGTCTCATGGACTTTCTTGTCCAGGTTGGCTTCAAACCGTGATCCTCAGATCTCAGCATTCTAAGTACCTAGGATTTCAGGTATGAGCAATCAGTGCCTGGCCATATGGTCTTTTAGCTACCCACAAGAGGGGAAATTCCTTTACCTATAGCTTGGCTCACCAGTGCTTGGTATTTGTATTTACAGTTATATTCAGCATAGACAGAATTTTTTTTTTTCTTTTTTTGCCAGTCATGGGGCTTGAACTCTGGGCCTGGGCGTTGTCCCTCAGCTCTTCAGCTCAAGGCTAGCACTCTACCACTTGAGCCACAGCACCACTTCTGGCTTTTTTCTGCTTATGTGGTGCTGAGGAATCAAACCCAGGGCCTCATACATGCAAGGCAAGCGCTCTACCACTGAGCCACCTTCCCAGCCCCAGACAGAAATTTTTGTAAGTCTGATGCCAAAGATACAAAAAGATATAGAATACTCCATGAAAGATCTCTTTCCATAAATCTTTTTCTATGAAACTTAGAATCAAATATATTTACATATATTGTTAACTAATTTTTAAAATCAGGGATTATTTATTAATTTTTTAGCTTATACACTGGCTATTAGACTGGATATATATTTTTTTTTTTTTGGTTGGTCGTGGGGCCTGAACTCTGGGCCTGGGCGCTGTCCCTCAGCTCTTCAGCTCAAGGCCAGAACTCTACTGCTTGAGCCACAGCGCCACTTCTGGTTTTCTAGTGGTTTATTGGAAGTAAGAGTCTCACGGACTGTCCTGCCCATGCTGGCTTTGAACTGCGATCCTCAGCCTCCTGAGTAGGTAGGATTACAGGCGTGAGCCACCAGCGCCCAGCTTAGAAATTCTCAAAAGGAGAGAAGGGCCAGGCGCAGCTGACTCACACCTGTAATCCTAGCAATTCAGGAGGTTGAGATCGAGGATGATGGTTAAAAGCCAGCCCTGGCAAGAAAGTCTGTGAGACTCTTATCTCCAATAAACCACTCAGAAAACCAAAAGTGGCACTGTGGTTCAATGGTAGAGCACTCACCTTGAGCTGAAGAGCTGAGGGACAGAGCCCAGGCCCAGAGTTCAAGCCCCAAGACCAACCAAAAAAAAAAAAAAGGAGAGAGAGACTTAAAGTATGTCTAAGAAGTGAGAGTGAGAGTGAGTGTGTGTGTGCGCGCGCACGCATGCGCATGTATGTTGCCCCTATATATACGTATATATTTATATTTGGTGTAGCAGAGTACTTGTGCTCTCTCTCAGCCTTTCTAGCTTATGGCTGGTACTCTATCATGTGAGCCATGTCTCCAGTCCAGAATTTTGCTAGTTAACTGGAGATAGAATATTGTAGACTTTTCTTCCCCAGCTAGTTTCAAACTGCAATCCTCCAGGTCTTACACTCCTGAGTACTGAGGATTATACTCATGAGCCACTGGTGCCTGGCTGTGTCTTAGAATATATCACCTTACTCTGTCAGTGTGGATATCTAAGTCAGAAAAAGTAACTACATCAATTTTGTTAACTATTCTTTTTATCAAAGCAATATTGACAAGAAGGCAGGGACTGCTTTGGCTCCTCTCTTTGATTACCAGGTCCAAAGAGAACTGAAGCATGAAAGAAATGGAGCAATCACCTCTACAACAGTGAGATGGGGTCTTTCATAAGCATGAAGTCTTCTTGGCATTTAGAAATAAACATAATTGATCTAGTGACCTAAATTTCCCATTTAAAAGACTCTCCTGTGTTTATGAGTAGGAAATGAAAGCAGTGTGCAGCAGCTTGCTCTGCATTCAGTGTCCATGGAGAGAAAATGAGAGTGATGGAAATAAATCTGGACACATTCAGAGTAGCTAGAAGGCATCTGGAACACACGGCATGGGGTTCTTTATACTCAAGCCATATTCCTCTTCGGGGATGTACTGGAAATGTTTCCAACAAGAGAATTTAGTGAAGTACTACTTAATAAGTGATACCTAAAATCATCATAATCACTTTAGTCTACCTTGGCCTGCTCTCTTAAACAAAAGCAAATAAGCTTCTTTTTGTGTATGTGCCAGTCTTGAGGCTTAAACTCAGGGAATGGGCGCTGTCCCTGAGGTATTTTGCTCAAGGATAACACTCTACCAGTTTGAGCCACACTTCCTTCCATTCTCAGTTTTTTGCTGGTTAATTGAAGCTAAGAGTCACAAGACTTTACTGCCTGACTGGCTTTGAACCTTGATCTTCAGATTTCAGCCTCCTGACTTAGCTAGGATTAGAGGCATGAGTCACTTGGGTAGCAAATAAACTTCTTTTTTAACAGAGTAAGAAACCTCCAATGAAATAGTAAGTTGACTTCTGGAAATCTATCTAGACAACCAGATATTTTTCAAGTCTGATCTCCCTTTCTTTGTTCTCATCTTCTTGGTTATCAGATCACCAGCCATCCACCTGAACCATGCCTCTATTTCTCCTTTACTTCCAACAGCCCTATTGGCTCTGATGGCCCATTTTTATCCACTTCTCTAGAACTATCTCTTTCTACCTGCCTAGGAAATATAAGTGTGGCACTAGCCCACTGGAACCATGACAGAAAATCAATGCATTCCTACTTTTCTCCCTGATCGTGATTAGGTATAAGGTAGCAGGGTGAGACAATAACAGACAAACTGGTCAGGTATTATTATTTACAGTGCCTATTTACCATTTGCCTAAGTCATTTTTCTGATACATTAAAATATATAGATGATTTATATACAAACAGGACTCACTGAAATTGCAGCACTTTTTTTGGTAACATTCTTTCTAGTAAGCAGGAAGTTCTTGTGAGGCAATCCTTTTCTAAGGAATTTGACAGGAAAAAAGGGCAAAAAAGGCAGCTCTGTGAAGGATTGTGTTTGGGTTCCTAAAATATAGCTTTTACAAAGCCAATCTACTGGAGTTTCAGGTTGCATTAACAGCATGATGTGGGGCTTCTGGAAAGAGGCTTACAAGAGAGTAAATAGACATGGGATGCACAGATGTGGAGGCATATTCAATGGCTGCAGACTCTTCTATACCGTAACTCACCACCTGCTCAGGAGTGGAGCAATGGACTCTACCCCATCTCCTTCCTATCCCCAAGAAGTTCTGCATACCTGGCATGATGACATCAGGAAATCCCAATTTTCTTGTAAAGGCCAATCCCCTATTAAATATCATGGGATTTTCTCTCCGAATCTGTTCCATGTCTCCGCGAAGAAGTTGCAAAGAAATAATAAGACCTACAAAAAAATATTTCCTTATTCAGAATCATTGTCTAGAAAAGATAGAAACGTTTTGTATTTTTTTCTTTTTTCAGTGCCATAAACATGCTAGAGAAGTGCTCTGCCATTGATCTATAGCCCACTCTTATTCTTTTCCTTTCTTTTAAATTATATTCTTATTACTTTTGAATAGTTGTACAAAGGAATTACCATTCAACAAATCAGTTTATAAGTACAATGCACCTTTTTCACTGTTCTCCCCCATCCCTCCTAACCCAACCCTTCCCCTCAATTTTCCTAGCTTAACAGAATATGCATTGAGTATTATGACTGCATTCGCACCTTCTTTCTTTCTTCTTTGCCACTATTTTTCCTGAGGGGGGGCAGGGAACTTTTGGTGATACTGAGGTTTGAACTCCCTGGATTTCCTAGGCAAGCAATTTACCACTGAGACACCTTTCCAGTCCTTTAGTTATTCTCACTTTTTGTCCAGGTCTGTGCCTGGACCACAATCAGCCTATTATAAGTTTCTCATCAAAGCTGAGATATATAACCAAAACCAGCTTTCTTCTACTGAGATAGAATTTTGTTAACTTTTTTGCCTAAGTTGGCCTGCAACTATGATCCTCTTGACTTCAACTTCTCATACAGCTGGATGACACAGGTACATGCCACTGTGCACAGCATTAAGAAGGGATTTCATGTCATGTTCTTGCAGGCCTCAAACTGTCATCTTCCTGGGTTCAGTCTCTTATGTAGCTAGGATAATAGGCAAGAGCCACCAGCATAAAGTTTTTTTTGTTTGTTTGTTTGTTGCCAGTCCTAGGGCTTGAACTCAGGGTCTGGGCACTGTCCCTGAGCCTCTTTTGCTCAAGGCACAGTGCCACTTCTGGTTTTCTGGTGGTTAACTGGAGATAAGTCTCATGGATTTCCTGCCCGGCCTGGCTTTAAACCATGATCCTTAGATCTCAGCCCCTGAGTAGCTAGGATTACAGGTGTGAGACACAGGAGCCTGTCTTACCGAGAAAACGAAAACTTTGTTGTTGTTATTGGTCATGGGGCTTGAACTCTGGGCCTGGGCAATGTCCCTGAGCTCTTCAGCTCAAGACAAGTATGCTACCACTTGAGCCACAACGCCACTTCCAGTTTTCTGAGTGGTTTATAGGAGATAAGAGTTTCATGGCCTTTCCTGCCTGGGCTGGCTTTCAGTGATGATCCTCAGATCTCAACCTACTGAGTAGCTAGGATTACAAGAGTAAGCCACCAACACCCAGCCAAAGAAAATTTTTGATGCTCAAAGTATTTTGATGCTTCAAAATATTGAAGAAGGAGCCGGGCGCTGGTGGCTCACGCCTGTAATCCTAGCTACTCAGGAGGCTGAGATCTGAGGATCGTGGTTCAAAGCCAGCCCGGGCAGGAGAGACCGTGAGACTCCTATCTCCAATAAACCACCAGAAAACTGGAAGTAGCGCTGTAGCTCAAGTAGTAGAGCGCTCACCTTGAGCTGAAGAGCTGAGGGACAGCGCCCAGGCCCAGAGTTCAAGCCCCACGACCGACATAAAAAAAAATATATTGAAGAAGGAATTTAAGTAAGGGATTTCAATATCCCACACAATGGTATCTTAAGAAATAGGTTTGCCTTCCTCTCTGTTCGCTAGCACCAGGGCCTCTCTTGCCCCTAGAAAACACTGAATAAGAGGGTTGGACTATCTAAATTTGTACATTCAGAAACTCAGAAAAAAAAATCTACAGACTAGAAACAAGTGTGACCAATAAGAACCTGGGCCAAGGTGTCCCAAATTACTGTCTGACAGTAACAAAATTGATTGTAAAGTACAAATCATGCATAATTGGCACGATACAGAAATAAAAGTTCTCATCAGTAAGTGCTGCCATGCCTTTCAGTGGCTTTGTATTGTCATTTAAGGTTCATTTTTAATACCCAACAAGGTCTATGAAAGTTTTAAAAAAAGTTATATCAAAGTGGTTATGAAATGTTGTAAAAAATCAAGACAAACATGGTTCTATGTATATTAGAGCACTATTTGTAAGGATAAATAAAAATGCTTAGCCTTTCAAATGGTGTTTCTAAAGTAATCAAATAATGTTTAACTTAGAAAATATATCAAATGTGTAGAGTGACACAGATTTAAACAGAAATTATTTAAACGGATTTAAAGAGGAAATAAGAAAAGCTGCTTAGAAATAAGTATTTTGTATTCTAGTTCCAGAATGACTCATAATAGCAAACTAATCATTGACTGGCAGTAATGTAAGGTTCTTGTGATGATATGAATGCTGAACCAGAATAGAAAGATAATTTATATTAATACTTGTCTTTTGCATTTTTAGTTTTGTCTGGGTATGTGATTTTTGTTTGAAAAAACACAGACCACATTGTGACAAATCCTAAACACTTGCTCACTGTGGACTTAAACTGGAACTAAAGTTATAAAATCTATCATAAAAGTCATAGAATACCAGCTGGGTACTGGTGGCTCATGCCTGTAACCCTAGCTACTCAGGAGGCTGAAATCTAAGGATCACAGTTCAAAGCCAGCCCAAGTAGGAAAGTCTGTGAGACTCTTCATTAAACTACCAAAAAAGCCTGAAGTAAAGCTGTAGCTCAAGTAACAGAATGCTATTCTTGTGCAAACGAAGCTCAAGGACAGTGCCCAGGCTCTAAGTTCAAGCCTCAGGACCAATACTAAAAAAAAAAAAAAAAAAAAAAAGTTATGGAATCTATTCATAAAAAGAATTTAAAAATGTATTTGGGTCAGGAAAGACCTTAAATTTCTATAAAAGGAATTAACAACTTGACTAGAAGGAAAGCACTATGACTTCTGAAACAGAACCACCACCATAATTAACTGTTCATGATTGGGAAATATCTGGGAGTGGTATTCATGTCTGTAGTCCCAGATACTCGGGAGAAAGAATGCTCCTAGGAAGAGAATAGATATATGCAGGAAATTAAGCTTTATATACAGTAGCCAATCAACAGTAACCAACCAACTGAGGTGTTATGTGATCAACAAATACAAATGCAACATGAAATCTAGCTTAAGAAATACATTACCATGGCTGGCGCTGGGGGCAGAGTACTTGGCACTGGACTTTCGGATGATGTTCTCGTGGATTTGGGCCCACTCACTCTCATTGTTGCAACTACAACAGAAGGACAGGCTTTATGGCTCCCTAAATATATCTGGTCTGATGTCTTAATGGGTAACAAAAAATTTGGAAGGAAAATGATAATTACTTTCCTAAACAAATGAATATATGTTTTGCTAAATTAGACAGGCTCTTTTTTTTTTATGTAGAAGATTCACATTTGGGGAAAGTGTAGATATTCTAAAATCTCTATAAATATATATATTTATTTATATATATATATATATATACCCTATTCATACATATATGGTATAGATAAATGTTACATGTACACAAATATAGATAATATGTGAGCTAGAAACAAAATGATTGTCAACAATATATACATATATACACATATAATATACATATACATTTGATCGTTTTGGTAGTGCTAAGGATTAAACCTTGGATCTTGTGCATGCTTAACACATGCTTTACCACCAAGCTATATTTTCAGCTACACTTTTTTTTTGGTCAGTTGTGGGACTTGAACTCAGAGTCTAAGCACTGTCCCTGAGCCTCTTTGTGCTCAAGACTAATGCTCTACCACTTGAGCCGTAGTACCACTTCTGGTTTTTGAGTGGTTAACTGCAGATGAGAGTCTCACAGGGAATTTTCTGCCCAGGATGACTTCAAACAGCAATCCTCAGATCTCTCAGCATTCTGAGTAGCTAGGATTACAGGTATGAGTCACTAGTGCCTGGCACATATTTTTAAGTGGCAAAATACCCACCTCACTAAAGTAGCACTGTTGAAGTGACAAGTTCTTTGCTAGCCATGTACACACACACACACACACACACACACACACACAGACAGACAGAAATTACACACACACACAGAAATTCCTAATTAAAAAATTATCATTTCTCTCAACAAGTACTACTGTTTAGAAACTGCCATGACATTGACTTTACGTTTTCATCCAACTGGCACTGCACTGGCCCTACAAAAAAAAACACCACAATTCAAGTTTGTGTCCTGATGTTTCAGCATCTTACTCTGTTCTGTAAAGGGGAACTCAAAGTGTAACCAGTTAGCCAACTGGAGCAAAGCTTAAAAGTGCCTAGAAATTCTTTATTTTGATGCAGGCATTTTGATGCAACACTGAGAACATGAATAAGGTAATCTCTTGAAAATTCCATTTGACACCCACAATTCCATTTGACACTCAAAGAGACATGGATCCATTCCAACTATGGAAAACAGGACACATGAGCAAAGAAAAGCATATTTTAACTTTTTAGTCAGATGTACCCAGTCAGCATGACCATTTCCAGGAGGAAATATCAATATAAGAGTTACAGCATGGGGCTGGGAAGGTGGCTCAGTGGTAGAGCACTTGTCTTGCATGCATGAGGCCCTGGGTTTGATTCCTCAGTACCACATAAGCAAAAAGAAAAAAGCCAGAAGTGGCGCTGTGGCTCAAGTGGTAGAGCGCTAGCCTTGAGCTGAAGAGCTGAGGGACAGCGCCCAGGCCGAGTTCAGGCCCCACGACCAGACCCAAAAAAAAAAAAAAAAGTTACAGCATATATCGTCTAGCACTACTGTTATCCAATCAAATGGTTATAACTCTAGCCACTGGGGGCATATTCAATTTGTTCCCCATTTCTTTGGCATATACCCTTCACATTTTACATATGTATGTACATATTTTAAATATAAATGTACATGTATATGTAGATATATGCATACACACATATATACTTCTGGTTCCAGTTCTAGATTGGAGTCCTGGTTCCTTTTATTACAGAATGATATTAGAAATCAAGACCTGTGGGGCTGGGAAGGTGGCTCAGTGGTAGAGCGCTTGCCTTGCATGCATGAGGCCCTGGGTTCGATTCCTCAGCACCACATAAGCAAAAAAAGAAAAAAGCCAGAAGTGGCGCTGTGGCTCAAGTGGTAGAGCACTAGCCTTGAGCTGAAGAGCTAAGGGACAACACCCAGGCCCAGAGTTCAGGCCCCATGACTGGACCCAAAAAAAAAAAAAAAAATCAAGACCTATGCTTCTAGATGTGGATATTGGGGTATTGTTACTTCTCATTCTCCTTGGCTGACAGAACAAGAGAATATATATGTATTAACCTATGGATACATATTTATAATATAACCTCCTATGTCTGTATTAAGCTAAATTAACCTATACTGATGTCAAGTCACCTGAAGACCCAAACAAAGGACAAAGAACCAAAACAGACTAAAATAGTGTTGTGATTAGAAATATATACACTAAGGACATAGGTTTAAGCATAATATGAAATAATAGTTACTGGATTAGTTGGGTGCTGGTGGCTCACACCTATAATCTGAACTATTCAGGCGGCTGAGATTTGAGGATCACAGTTCAGAGCCAGCCCAGGCAGAAAAGTTTGTGAAACTCTTATCTCCAATTAACTACAAAAAAAAAAAGGCTGAAAGTGTAGCTGTGGCTCAAGTGGTAGAGTGATAGCCATGAGCAAAAGGTCAGGGACATAATAAGTTTAAGCCCTAAGATTGCCACCAAAAAAAAAAAAATACTGAATTAAAAAATTTATGCTGGGCATCAGTGGCTCATGCCTGTAATACTAGCTAATCCAGAGTCTGAGATCTGAGGATTGTGGTTCAAAGCCAGCCCAGGCAGGAAAGTCTTTGAGACTCTGATATCCAATGAACCACCAGAAAACCAGAAGTGGTGCTGTGGCTCAAGCGGTAGAGAGCACCCAGGCCCAGAGTTCAAGCCCCATGACTGGCAAAAAAAACCCCAAAAACTTCCGACTGGGAAAGTGGCTTAGTGGTGGTAGTGTGCTTGCCTAGCATGCACAAAGCCCTGAGTGTGATTCCTCAGTACCACATAAATAGAAAAAGCCAGAAGTGGCGCTGTGGCTCAAGTAGAGTGCTAGCCTTGAGCAAAAAGAAGCTCAGAGACAGTGCTCAGGCCCTGAGTTCAAGCCCTTCCATTTGAACATACTGACAGAGGTGGTTCTTCACTGGGGAGATCTTGCCCAGACATCTGTCATGTCTGGAGATATTTATGATTTCCATGGCTCAAAGATCAGAGGCCAGTTGAATGAGGAATGATTGTACAGAAAGAAGGTACTACTATTTTCTTTGTTAAGTGTGAATAGGAGGATCTGATGAACAATGAGCTTAGACCAAGTCTAAAGATAAGCTACTCAAATACCCTGAAATTAGGTAGATGTGGCTTCATCAGCATATTTTATCCAATCACTTGTATATTTTGCAGGAAAAACTATGTGAACATTTATTAAATAATCAAATGAGTCATGATTATAATGAAACATGGTTATGTTATCCCCAATCAAATTAACATGTACAGTATGATTACTGATGTTAGTTTGTCATTAATCCTAAGATGCATGAGGGATTTCAATGAGATCTGTGTACTTCTGTGGGGAGCCCACTTTCCCCATGGAGGAAATAAAAGCATAGGCAGTGAAGTAGTATTTCAACCACTATTTGCCCAGGGATTTACTCAGGGAGTACAAGAGAGACACAGGGTTTTAGTTTTAAAACTAAGTATTCAGAAGCATCAGAGCAGTTGGAACTCAAGATCCTCCTGCCTTAGCTTTCTTAGGCTGAATGCAGAATCTGTTCAACATAGTTGAAGTACTATTTTCATATATGACAGCCCATTTTATCAGTTGCTTTTCTATTACTTTCTCTCTTTTTTGTGGTGCTGGTGTCAAAATCAGGGCTTTATGTATTTGGACATCTGTTTGAAAGTCTGTTAAAATTTTAAGTAGAAAAATTGTCCTATGTTTTTAACTCTATTAGTCTTTCAAAAGAAAAAAATCAAAAGCTATCTTTCCTATAAACATATCTTTGGCTTTTTAGAATTGCCAAACCTGTAGGAAGGAGCTAAGAAAATACCATACATGAATCCCACTTCTTGCAAAGTGGCACACTAGTACAGAAAGCTGTTGTTTTAGAGGCAATTAGGCAAATTAAGCCTGACAGCCTGATTTTAGAAGAGATGCTGTGCATGTCCCTAATCTGCAATGATAATTTGTACTGAAGTAAGGTGGTTGATACATGCAAAGTGACAAAAGTCAAGAGCATTGCCCTAAGTCTCTTTAAAAGGATACAATGGAGTGAGATGAGAATAAAGATGATTTTGGATTTCTATTTGGTCCTTTTCAAAGGGAGAAAAACATTTGAAAAAACAGATTCTATGGGCTGGGAAGGTGGCTCAGTGGTAAAGTGCTTGCCTTGTATGCACGACGCCCTGGGTTCAATTCCTCAGCACTACATAAGTAGAAAAAGCTGGAACTGGCACTGTGGCTCAAGTGGTAAAGCGCTGAAGAGCTGAGGGACAGCACCCAGGCCCAGTATTCAGGCCTCACAACCGACAAAAAAAAAAAAAAAAGATTCTACCACCTATCAAAAAAGAAACTCAGTATATAGAGAAAAATCTGCAAATGAGGCCCTGAAGAAAAACTTGCCAAATTTTTCTTTGCAAGTTCCTACTTTAGTTACTGCTTTAAAGGAAGATCTTCCCCCCATAAAATATACAACTCTTAACAGAAGAGAGCTTAATGAAAATCATGTAATGAAAATACTTGGGCTTTTATTAGAAATTAATCAAATGTGACTGATTGTAAAAACCCCAAAATACAATTGTAAGTTAAGTTCATTTCTGAGAAAAATGGATAGAATAACAATGCAGAAAAATATCCATAAAATATGGTGAAGATATATTAATATAGTAATTAAAAGTATTTAACTTAATTTGTAAAATATTTTATTGGGCTGAGTAATGTTGGTTCACGCCTATAATCCTAGCTACTCAGGAGGTTGAGATCTGAGGATCACAGTTCAAAGCCAGCCTGGGCAGGAAAGTCTGTGAGACTCTTATCTCCAATAAACCACCAGAAAACCTAAAGTGGTGCTGTGGCTCAAGCGGTAGAGCACTTGCCTTGAGCTGAAGAACGCAGGGACAGCGCACAGGTCCAGAGTTCAAGCCTTACAATCAACAAAAGGGAAGGAAGGAAGGAAAGACGGAAGGAGAAAGGGAGAGGGGAAGGAAGGAAGGAAGGAAGGAAGGAAGGAAGGAAGGAAGGAAGGAAGCAAGGAAGGAAGGAAGGAAGGAAGCAAGGAAGGATACCTACCTCACCACTGATCTTTTTTTTTTTTTGGTCCGGTCGTGGGGCCTGAACTCTGGGCCTGGGTGCTGTCCCTCAGCCCAAGGCTAGCGTTCTACCACTTGAGCCACAGCGCCACTTCTGGCTTTTTTCTTATGTGGTACTGAGGAATCGAACCCAGGGCCTCGAGCATGCAAGGCAAGTGCTCTACCACTGAGCCACCTTCCCAGCCCCAACCACTGATCATTTTAATTTTGCTATTTGCTTCTATATGTCTATAAACCAAGACAGACTATATATTGTTTGTTTCCTTTCTTTGTTTCCTTTCTTAGTTATGTTTTTCTATTGCTTAACAAGAGTCATGACAAGATGGGATTGCTTCTTGACTAAGTAACACTAAAAATAATGTCATGTCTGGCTGGGAATGTGGCTCAGTGGTAGCATGCTTGCCTTGCATGCATGAAGCCCTGGGTTTGAGTCCTCATTATCACGTACACAGAAAAAAGCCAGAAATAGCACTGTGGCTCAAATGATAGAGTATTAGCCTTGAGTAAAAAGAAGCTCAGACCCAGAGTTCAAGCCCCAGGACTGGCCAAAAAAAAAAAAGTCATGCCTGTTGAATACGACTTAGGGATCTGTAATAACAGAAATAAAGATTAAGATGATCTTGTCTTCTCAGAAAAATTGATTTTCTTCAGAGACAGGAAAACATTATTACTAGACATTTTTTGAAGCAATCTACATTATTAGCTAAATCAGTTATAATAGCTATTGGGTATTAGGTATATCCAAGACATGTAAGAAACTATATTTTTAGCTTTTTAGAAAAGTGTACAATAAGGTTGGCTCATTTTGGAGAAGAAATTAGTATTTTGGAGAAAAAGGGAAATACATATTATTAGACATTCACTTTAGTAGAGAAGGTTCTAAATTCAGATGTTTCAGAATCATCTGCGAAGCTTATTAAAAATAAAGATGCCTTAACCCCCCCCCAAACCTTAGATCAAATTTATTTATTTATTATTTTTTTGGGGGGGTCCAGTCGTGGGGCCTGAACTCTGGGCCTGGGCACTATCCCTCAGCTCTTCAGCTCAAGGCTAGCACTCTACCACTTGAGCCACAGCACCACTTCCGGCTTTTTTCTTATGTGGTGCTGAGGAATCAAACCCAGGGCCTCGAGCATGCAAGGCAAGTGCTCTACCACTGAGCCACCTTCCCAGCCCTTAGATCAAATTTTATACATTTTCAAAAAACTATTCTACATCTTGGTGAGCCAGTAATCATGAGACTTCAGAACTGCTACTGTCAGGGTAGTGCTGGAATGCCATATGTTTCAAATCATTAAGATTATTGATGCTCATTACTCACGTGTAAACCTTGAGAACAAAATCCTTTTCTTCCTTTAATTCTGTGAGTGATTGTAGGACATCCAAGATGCTAAGCACTGCACAGCCATATGGTCGCCTGTAGTGCAGGTGAGCAGGGCCCTTCTTGGAGTCATTCAGGAGCATCCGGCCTTGAGCAAAACAGAACACACTAGTCAGCAGATAGAGAACTCCATACTCCTTTCCAGTATCTCCTGTCTGTCATGCAAAGATGCCAGAGTGACAGCTACCTAAGAGATCCTTCAAGTTGGAAGTGTAGAGCTAAAGGGAGTCATCCAATGATATTTATCAAACAGGCCTCTAGCCAAGCCTCTTCTCCTATACCACATTCCGTCTTACTACCTATCTTTAATGCAACATGATTAGTCCATTTATTAGTCAAATAAGAAAAAAAAAGAGTGGCTTTCTAAGTTTCTTAGAAAAACCATTAACAGATTTAAACCTGACAGGCATATTAACATTAGGTTCAGCATAAGTTTCCAGGTATAAACTATACAAAGATAAGGAGAATGCTGCATGTTTCCTCCAACCAAAATCTACTGCCAAAGATGCTCCAGCACCACTGTGGGAGCGAGGGTACACTGAGAAGTGGATGTTTGCTTACTTTTCTCATTTACCACGGTCATGCCAACAGCTGCAAGAGGTCTTGCAACTGTTAGAACCTTAATAAATGCTTTCTCATTCACAACAAAATAGCTTTTTTATTGTGAGCAAGGGATAAAATGTACACAACAGGTACGAACTATAAAGGAAAATGTGGTTAGTCATATACCCAAAAGTTATATGTGAAATTTGAAATAAGGATGAGCTAGCCAATAATAAATGATAAAAGTTATTTCTTCCATTTCCATTTGTGTAGAAATGAGATGCTACCTATTTTCTAGAGTGATGACAATAGCTCCAATTTTGTGGAAAATGGCATAGATACATAATTTTGGACACAAACTACAGCAAGGGGCATTGCCATCTGTTATATCAGCAATCTGGCAACTTTCTATAAGATCTCTGAGGGGGAATGCAATGTGACTTAAAGAAGTAAAAAAATTTAAAATAAAAGTGAGAAAAATTCATTCCTTTATATCAAACCCAACTATTGCAGCAGATGACCTTAAGGGAGTGTAAAAAAAGAAAGAGCTGGATTCTAAGTTTGAGTCTTAAAAGAGCTGGGGGAAAAAACAAAGCTCACACTTAGGACATACTTATCCCAAAAAGTTGGGCTAGTGGCTGAGAGGGTGGCTTACTGATAGAGTGCTTGCCTCACATGCATGAAGCTCTGGGTTCGATTCCTCAGTACCACATACACAGAAAAAGCCAAAAGTGGCACTGTGGCTCAAGGGTTAGAGTGCTAGCCTTGAGCCAAAGAAGCTCAGGGATAGTGCCTATGCCCTGAGTTCAAGCCCCAGGACTGGCAAAAAAAAAAAAAGTTGGGCTAGTCTTGAACAGGTGAATAGATTAAATAAACAGTACCTATTCGGATCACATGGGCAACAATATATAAGTCTCTCTTCATGTCTTTGCTGCTCAGATCCTAAAATAAGAAAAACAAAAAGTAAATTCAGGCAAGGAATATATAGAACACAAAATTTCATTATGAGTCTCAAAGTAGTTTCCTTTTAGTATATTTGTATGTAGGAGAAGAGACTGCAATATACAACAATTTAATGTGTCTAAGATTTATGACGTGAGTCTAGAGTGTGTGAGAGTGTGTGAGTGTGTGTGTGTGTTGTGATATTGGCATTTGAACTCAGGCTCCCAAGATTTACGACGTGTGAGTTGAGAGAGAGAGAGAGAGAAGGAGGGAGAGGGGGAGGGGGAAGGGGAGAGAGAGAGAGAGAGAGAGAGAGAGAATGTGTGTGTGTGTTTGTGTGAATGGACGTGAGTCTAGAGTGTGTGTGGGGAGGGGGGTGTTATTGGCATTTGAACTCAGGCTCCCAAGCTTGCTAGGGAGTCATTATACTCCACTAACTCTCCAACACTTCTTTAATTTTTTATTTTGTGTATGGGTGTGGGTAGTCAGGGCCTCTCACACTTGCTCAGCTTGCTTGCTCATGGCTGGTGCTCTACCTCTCACATCGCCAGTCCAGTATTTTTCAGGTTAACTGGAAATGAAGTCTCAGAGGCTTTTCTGCCTACATGCCCAGATAGAAGTGTGTGTATGCATATATATTTTTTTGGGGGGGTCCCAGTCATGGGGCCTGGTCGCTGTCCCTCAGCTCTTCAGCTCAAGGCTAGTGCTCTACCACTTGAGCCACAACGCCACTTCCAGCTTTTTTCTTTTTGCTTACGTGGTGCTGAGGAATCGAACCCAGGGCCTCTGGCATGCAAGGCAAGCGCTCTACCATTGAGCCACCTTCCCAGCCCCTAGAAGTATATTTATTGGCAGTATTTCTCAGTCCTAATTTACACCACTTAATAAATCAAGTATCTACAAAAACCTCCTCATTAATCCATTAACTTATTCTACCATCATGCAAAAACATTTTTTAACAAAAAGAATCAATGTTAAGTGCAGAAAATTATAAAATATCAAAAGCTCATTAGTGACTAAAATTTTTAACTTTTAAAATATTTTTGGGCCAGATGCCGGTGGCTCACACCTATAATCCCAGAAAACCGGAAGTGGCACTGTGGCTCAAGTGGTAGAACACTCACCTTGAACTGAAGAGCTGAGGGACAGC